CAAACTTTCCACTTAACATTCTTTTGAATTTAATGAATAATTTTTTCTTAATTCAACAGAACATAGAAAAGAAGTTGACTTTAAAAAATGCTTGGAATCTCAACTCATTTTATATTCTATGACAAAATAATGAACAAGTCCTAATTAGTATCATTTTTTTCATGACTACCTAAAATCTATTTAAGGAGCCCTTTATGTCCAAGTAAAGAGTTTGAAAACAACCATCTTACGCTGCGCTGCTTTTCCAGTGGACAAGACCACATCACTCCCCTGCTTCAAATCCATCTGAAGAGTTGCTTCTTCCAGGAAGCCAATCATGAGCCTCCTAGGTAGGCCTTGACAATGAAAAAGACAAGGGTTGGAGTGCTCCTGAATCTACTGAACTAATGCTAATTAAAATTACCTCCAATAATGCAAATTTTAAAAGGGACATTCTCTAAATGGAATAATAGTTTAAGGGCACTAGGAAACTATTTTGTTATATTATTTATACCATCAGGACACAGAAGTGTCAGGACACAGAACCTCAGAAGTTGAGGCCTTCAGATAATCTGAATTTAGGAATCCCACATTTCAAAGTACTCTATACAAACTGAATTTATATAAACAGTTGTAGTTTAGTATATCCCTTATCTGTCATTTGCCTAAGGAGAGCTATATTAGCACAGTTCAGACAGGGAGCAGATGATAAAAACCATGATTACAACAACACTAAATGAAAAAGAAAGAACATTCAATTTTTTTCTTCTTTATCCACTACCAAAGTGGAATAATGCTTGTAGGAAAGGAGAACAAATACAGGGCCTATGAAAGACAGAATCTTTCCAGAGTCACTCTGTTTAACCCTCTGAATAAATCTTATGGACTTATCAACTCACTTAATATGGACGATTCCTAAGGTAGGAGTATTGTTATCTTCTCAGCATTTAATGAGAAAAATGAGTTGTGGAAATAACTCATCTAGGATAACATAGTTAATAAGTAATCCAGGTAATATTACTCTTAATTTATAGTTAAATTAAGATCATGCTCTTAATTTATAGTTAGTTTTTTATGTGTGTGTGTGTATTTTAAGCCAGACTTTGGGTTTGAAAGTGTTTCTCAGAGTTCTGGGATTCCATGAGAATATTGTGGGGTCCGTAAGTAAAGAGCAAATGAAGTTCTGAGAACTTCACCCAATCAAAGCAATTTTACTACTCCTTCTCCCAAAGTACTGGGGATATAATTAAATTTTTTAAAATAGTAATTAAAGAAAGGTTTTGATACAAAACCCCCAAAAAACTGAAAAATCACATCTAGGCTATAATTTCCAAAAATATTTCATGGATATTTGGCTAGCATTAAATACATATTAACTTAATTAAATTATATGGCAGTACTTTATTCACTAGAAAAAGTTAATATTCATACCATTACAACAGAGAAAATCCTGAGTATCAATATAATTAAATAATAATGTTAAATCACATTTAGCAATTTAACTGGATACTATGTAGTTTTTAATTATGGTGATCGAAAGATTTTACTATCTCAAGGCTACTGAAGAGTTAAGCACAATTTATTCTTATGAAAAAAAGGTATGCTTTTCATACACACATTTTTTTGTACATGTATCACTAATTATATGACCTGATATATTAAAATGACACTCACACATTTTTTAGGATCACTGAATTACTGGAAGAGATTTCCTTAAAATTCACTGTCAGTAGAAATGTATTTTTGGAAGCTCACAAATTGCCTTTGATTTTAAAGAAATTATAAGGAAATTTGAAAAAAAAGCATAATTGAGGAAATGGTATCTGAAAAAAAATTTCAAAAATCTATTTAATTAGTTATCTATTTTTTTTTCATCTGGGGACCTATGAATTTCACAAATATTTATGAAACAGGCATAAAGGCTACTGCTTTTAAAGGTTATTTCCTTCCTTGTTTTTTTCTTTTGACGGGATTGGGGTTTGAACTCAGGACTTCACACTTAGCAAAGTAGGCACTGTTACCACTTGAGCCACGCCTCCTGTCCATTTTGCTCTGGTTATTTTGGAGATGGGATTTCATGAACTATTTGCCTGGTTTGGCCTCAAACATGATCCTCCTGATATCAGCCTTCCAAGTAGCTAGGATTGCCCAGCTGGCTATTTCCTTCTTACAGTAAAACTTTAGCTTGGGAGCTGACATCTGAATCAATTAGTAATCATTGAAATTTTAAGAAAATAAAACTAAAGTCCTAGCTTTGCTAATTCTGGATTTGTATTTAAAAGGCAAATGCAACAAAAATAAAACCTCATTTTTTTACTTCTCTAACTTTTCTGGAAAAATTGTTTTAGTATACTTTCCAAATAAATTAGGACACAGACATGAAATAATATCCACTGCTTAAAATACTCATTGCTGAAATTTTCATCAAAAAAAATCTTATTACTTCCACTATAAAATTACAATCCATTACCCTTGTGGCTATGTCTCAGTTTAAATGGAATACAAGATGGTAAAAGACAGTGTCAATAATCAATTTATCAATTTATTGTAATAAAATGGCTTTGAAGCAAAAATGAAAAGAGTTTTTTTTTTTTTACTTTAAACATTACATACAAGAAAGCTAAGCAAATGTCAAGTATAGCTCAACATAGCAGGTTAGGAAATTTAATTTTAATACCCATTTTTTTAGAAACTGGGGTTAATCATACAGAAACAATACTAAACAGACTATATCAAAAGCTAAGAAATCAGAATGCTATACTGCCTTTGAAGGAATTTAATCTGAATGTCATCCGGAACTTCCCATGAATGATTAGCCTGAACACTAACTCTTATTGTCTTTTGACTGACTCCAATTTCTAACACCTACGTTGTTAAAATATTTTCTTAATGTTTAGGAGAAAGCACCAAAATCAATTTTCTATGTTAGGATATTAAAATGAAATAAAAAATAAATTAACATCAAACCTGTAGAATTAAAGAAATTTTGGAAGAGCAGTATGTAAAAATCACAGGATTTGGTGATTCAAGGACAGAGTTTTCTAGTACTGGTTCAACCACTGTTTATATAGAACATTTTCCAGATAAGGTACTATGAGAATTTTTAGCAATCAGGGATGGCAGTCCAACAGCTAGCTATCCATACCAAATTATAACTTTCCTGTCCCATCCCTATATCTGAAAACCCAGCACCTATTATTTTATTATCTAAAGAGCTATCAGGGTAAGAATACACTTTAGCTTGCTCTCTTCAGATGAGTTTCCCTTCTCTCCCTTCAGAAAAATAAAGTAAAAAGTTAAATTATCTTGTTTAGCATTAGGATTCTAGAAAAATAATTTGGAATAAAGTAAAATGTAAAGTGAACATACATTAAAGTATGAAGAACAGTAAAGAAGCTTTAAGGGAAGATCTTGTCAACTGATACAGCATATGTTATTATGTGAGTGGCTCAACTGTGAACTAAGAAATCAGAAATTCAGTAATTATGTACCTGAACCCTCAGCTTAAGAAAGGTTGCCTAACCTAGGAGTTAGGACAGGTAAATTTTATTTGGCCAAGAATCCTATAAGAAGACAACTGCTAATCTAGGAGACATAGATTCACGACAGTGTACAAAAATATTCACTTATAATACTGGATGGTAAAGAGTCATCCTTTCTCACTCCGAAAGACATGTAATAATGTTCTCACCAATCCATACTCTGCAATTAATCTCTATCTTTGGAGGTTGCCTCCTGTGTATAGGAAATTCAATATTAAAATATATTTAGAGAACAAAAAAGTCAGATTTAGAACAATTCAGAATTCACAAAAAAGACCAAAAAATACCCAAAAGGTAAGGAAAAGGAAAAAAAGAGGAAAGGTGGTTAAAAAGAGTAATATAGATGGGGTAAATTTGATCAAAGTACATTATATGCATGTTCATAAATAACACAATGAAACCCCTTTGTAGAATTAATTTATGCTAATAAAAATTTTTGAAAAAAAGAAACAGTCTACTGTTATTTTGGGCTTTTATAAACACAGAACTTTATCTTGAAACAAAGAAACAAAACAACCCAGGTCTCTAATTTTATTACACAGTGACAGTACTATTAAAATACCTATAGCTTTCATTTACTTCAAGAATCAAAGACATAAATACTTAAGAAGTTGAAGGAGGTTTATAAACCAGAGCCAGGAAAAGAAAAGGAGGCTCCATGGAGGAGGAAACAGAGGAAAGGGGCAATGATTCTTCAAAAGCCTTCAAAAAAGTAAAAGATCTTAAAGCGGGAAGTTGTATTAGTTTAAAACATATATTAGAAAAGGTTCACAAACATTTTTCCTGTTTTTTAATCTTAATGTTCCCACATAATGTTAAAAAAAAAAAAAAAAAGGCGCAACACATTCTACTGAAGAAAGAAGAGCGTATCACTAACTCTTACTTTCTTTCTTAGGAAAACCTAAGTTTTGCTTTAGAATTACATTCTGTGTGAAGTGAAATTTAATCTAGTTCTGCAGGTACAGATAATAAACCATGTTGCGATAATTAAGGACACATGGTACTATTCTCCATATACTTACTGATGTATTGATATTGATAAACTGAGTCAAATGCATATGCTAAACTACCATGAAAATAAAACCTCCCAAAACACATTAAAGTATTGTGTACTGACATTGAAAAAACAAAATCTATCTTGTATTAATGATTTTCATACAGATCGAGTCTTCACTTTGTTTGGAAAGACCTACCTGAATAGCTGAGTTCATGAAACACGTTATTTCCCCAAATTTACTTAGGCCACAGAGACCTGGCTGTCATTGTTTCGCTCCAGGTTCTGAATAATCATAGTTCTTATTAAGGCAGTGTATTGATGGGAGACAATAAACTGAGTCAAATGCATATGCCTAAACTACCATGAAAATAACCTCCCAAAACACATTAAAGTATTTGTGTACTGACATGAAAAAAACAAATCTATTCTTGTATTAATGATTTCCATACAGAACGAGTTTCACTTTGTTTGGAAAGACCTACCTGAATAGCTGAGTTCATGAAACACGTATTTCCCAAATTACTTAGGCCACAGAGACCTGGCTGTTCATTGTTTCGTCCAGGTTCTGAATAATCATAGTTCTTATAAGCAGTGTATGATGGGAGACAATAATTTGAGTTTTTCACACTGGAAGAAAAAAATATTTATCAAAATGCAGCCACTTATATAACAACAGAGTATAGAAATTTAAGCCTATGAGATGGGTGGTTAATTATGAAATTTCTTTTATAAAATACTGAACTCAGGTACTTTTTAAGTCATTATTCTCAAAGCAAGTAATTCCCTTAATTAAGGAACTCCTATCCATTCAACAAAATCAATAGACCATATAGCACACCAACCAATACAAACCACTATTATATCTTTCTACCCTTGATTAACTGGAGCAGCATCATAGCTTGCTCCATTCTTCATTGGTCCATCAAATTTAAAGCAATCAGGTTTTACACACCACGTGCAGCAAAATCATTTCATTTATGTCCCTTTTGTATCCTGCTACTGTAACAGAGTGAGAGCAGTAGAAATAGGCAGCCTTAGGCTTTAGCTACAGGTGAGAGCAGAGAGCTCCAAGGCCACTATGACACCACTGTTCTGATGCACTAAAGATTCTATTTATAGTTTCTATGCTAGGCCAGCAATATCTACTATTCAAATGCATAAAAAATCCTGTGATCAGAAATGCAAAAATGATTTTAAGCAAGTATATCTCAGTATTACTTGCCTTTTGCTTTTGTCATTTGTTAGAACAATGCAGTTTATTTAACTAGATAAATATAAATTCATGCTATTTCCTAATAACAGTATAATGAGTGTTAACTTTAAAAACTCTACAATCTAAAATGTAGAAAATTAGGATAACTTTAGAAAGAATTAAGAAGTCATTAAGTTATATGATCCTTCTTCTCTTTACAAATAATAAAAAATAATTTGGTGGAAAAGGATGAATCCATCCTTAATTTAACATACTAGCTATCTTATAAAATACTTATGATGGATATTTTAGATACTATTCAAAACACATGCTTTCAGTCACTTTTTTATTCATTAGAACAATCTAAATGACAGAAGAGCAAAAGACAATATAGATAAAAAAGAATTTTACAAATAAACATGATGAATCAGTAACTCCAATAATCTCAATTGTTCACAATTTATTCCTGGTATTATTTTAAAATAATTTTTCTTATAATTTCAATTTTATATTCTATATGTACATTAAGTTAAAATGAACTATATTACTGCCTACACACACACACACACAAACAGGCTTAACACAAAATAAGACTAAATCAGCCCACAATTACACAAAATGTTAGACCATTAACATTTTTGCATTTTTTCAGAACTATTTCTTCTTCCACAAACAAAACAGACAAATTTCTGACTCTCACAAAATACAATCTATCCTAAGATTAAAGAAAAACATTGGGGCCCAAAGAACTGCAACCGTAATCAATTGAAATTCAGAACTTCTAAACTTGAAGCTGTCTGCTTTAAAGTTTTTATTTTTTAAAGTGTAAAGCAGAAAAATAGTACTGAACCATCTTTTTAAAAAGATCACTACCCTTGTTATTCATATTTTACAGTCTCGTTATTCATTTTTAGTCCTAGTAGCTAACCAATTGCAAAGCACCTACTGGCAATTCAATGTTATGTTCATCCATGATTGAGTATTAAATCTAACACAGCAAAAGCTGAAATCCTATCTCCCCAAATCCTATTTTTTTTTTACTACAATTAGCAGTGCTAAAAACCAGATCTTCTATGTTAAAAATATGTAAGGCCTGCATTTCCTATACACTCTACATATTACAGAGAAGAAAATATATATTCTGGCTGTGAAATTACAGTAAAATTTAAGTAGCACAGAGAAAGTATGCTCTAATTCATGCTTATGCTATGCTTACACACACACACTCACACTCTCTCTCTCTCTCTCTCTTTAAAAAAGCACTTCACATGCTTACTCCAAATGTAGATATTTAGGCACCCGTCCTCCCCCACAGATAACACAAATGGATGGCACCATGATGAGCCAGTTGAGAAATGAACAAAAATTTATTTGCTAAAGTTTTCTTTTTGAAAATCCACATCTTTAAGGGTATCTTTAACAGGGTTAAGTATAAAGCTCACACAAAGACTGATAGTCTAGATGGTTAATGATGATAATAAAAACCAATAAATTTTAAATATTTTATTTACTTTTTGGTGGAACTGAGGTTTGAATTCAGAGCCTTGTGCTCTACCACTTGATCCACACCTCCAGCCCTTTTTGCCACCCCTCTTTTTTCTTTCAGAGAGAGCCTTGAGCTTTTGCCCAGGGATGGCCTCAGACCTCGATCCTCCTACCTTCACCTCCCACATAGCTGGGATTACAGGCATGTACCACCATGCCTGGTCCCAAAATACTTTGATACTATCATTACTGGTAATTTATAAACCACATGTTAGGTACACTTTAAGTTATATATTAAAGTTTGTCATGGAAAATATAAAAACTTGCAGTTGTTCTTATACTTCTACAAATACATAGAAACCAGAATGATGGAGGGGAGAATTCAACTATGATATATTGTAAGAATTTTTGTAAATGTCACACTGTACCTTCAGCACAATAATAAAAACCAACTTCTATTACCATTCATGACTGTCTGCCAATTTTTTCTAAAGCTCTTAAGCTAATCTCCATCTTTTAAACTTATGCTATTTTGCAAAAATAAATTTAACAGAAATACTAACAGAGCATTTAATACTGTACTAGATTAATGCTATAAGTCTACTTTTTAAATGAATTTTAAAAATTCATTTTTAAAATTTTTCTGTAAATTTTAATCTTATTTTTGTATTAAAATTTCAAATGGACTTTTCAGTTAATATTGACATGCGACATCACTGTATTTTGATATGATAATTTGACCCTCATAACTGTAATTATACTTGCTTTGTAGTTAATGAAACAATACTTTCAGCTAAGCAACTTAACAAGAGCCAGATGGCTACCTCTGGTCCTCTCCAAAATCCATAGTTCCTGATCACAGCTTCATCTCACAGTGGGAATCATTTGAAAGAGATGATGTGGACTGCCAAAGTCCAGACAATAAATACATTCAAAATATTTTTTTAATGACAGCATTAGTAACATATCAATGCAAATGTAGCAAGAAAAACGCAGGCAAGAACACTACGACTAGAGAAAGAATTTGGAAGATATTAAAAATTTATATAAATTTAGGAAAAAATATTCTATGGACTAAGAAGTAAAATTATTACATGTAAATGAACTATAGCAAAAGATTCTTCACAATATTAGTCTTTAATAAAATCTTTTTAAGTACAAATGAATAACTCCAAGTATACTTTACTATGTTTATAAAAGTAATGCTATATCAGAAATGAAATTTTTCTTAGTAACATATTAGTGTCGAATGTTTCAACATAACTGAATTTGTAATTATGTTTCATGCAAACTTGTTATAACCACTGATTTTAACATATTTATATTTGTAGACTATTTACATATACATGAAGTTTCAAAAAATCACCAATTAAATATACTTTTAATGAAACTATGCTATTTCCATCTGAAGTCTTAAGTTATTACTTATTTCTACAAGTAGAATGAATTCAAGAAATAGTTTTATGTAAAATAACTGTTTAGATAAACATGACACTTATAAGAATTTTAAGGTAAAAACAAAAAAAATCCCTTATACTTTATGAGTACTGAAATTTTGTTACTAAGAAAGTAATTCATACTTAAAATTTATTTTTTAAGCTTAGGATGATGACAGTATGGCAGTAACAAGTAGGTATTTATCATTAAAATTCCTTAATATGAAAGGTTCTTTTCATGTTTAAATTATACACAGCTAAAAATATTATCTAGTCATAGAGCTGAATCATTAAACCTGCTCTAAAACTTAAGAAAAACCTCCAATTCTTTTCAATAGTTTCTATAGTCAGAAGTTTTGAGATTAGATTGCACAACTATATTTTTATTTTAGGAGGGAGAAAATAAGACAAAAGTAGAAATATACCAGACCACATATACTATGGTAACCTGGTCAAAGTATAATCTATATTCAATATAAACAATATAAGCAAATTATAATCTGTATTCATTAAAAACAATGTTAAAAATCTCTTAGAAGAATAACTAAATAAATGTAATACCAGTAAATGAATTATTTTATAGTAATGGGAGGCATCTGAAATTGGAAGAACACAAGTAATATTTTATCTCCCACAAAAAAATTACTTTTGATGAATTAAAAGATATACGACACAAATGGAATTATAGCATATTTCTTTTCACTCTGTTTTGTCTGTGGATATAGATTTTTAAATAGAAGAGAAAATATTCTTAACTCTGGATATTCATACTATCCTCACTATTTCATTATTACACTACAGTGTAATATTTAAATACAAGTGTATAATTAAAGGCATGAATGATTTAAATCTACTTGATTCATATTAGCATACTCTATTCTAGAAAAGTTGTACTAATACTCCAACCACTCAAAGAAAATTCTTATAAGAATGGATACTGTTGTTTATTTTTTCCATAATGCTTGACATATGGGGAAGTGGATGAAGTTTTTTATGGTTTTAATTTATAAAATTCTAATTAGTGGTGAATTTGAACTCTTAAAATATTTATCTTATATTTACTCCTTCATTTTTATCGTGGTTGTATCATTTGTCCAGTTTTCTAATTATTATAAAAAACTTCTCACAGACTTTTATGAACTTGGTATTTATCCTTTTAAAAAAATCTCTTGAGGTAAGCATTGTTTTCCATTTATTTGCCTTTTTTCAAATACATGATAATTATCTTGGATTGGAAATTCTACGAAGAAATTGTCAACAGTGATCACATTTTATGGATATTTCCTTGACAATCTGCTCATTCTTTATTCTAGACTGAATGTTTTCTGATTACTTTATTTTATTTTCATTTTTCTTTTATTATTCATATGTGCATACAAGGATTGGTTCATTTCTCCCCACTGCCCCCACCCCCTCCCTTACCTCCCACTCCGCCCCCTCCCTCCCCCCCCAATACCCAGCAGAAACTATTTTGCCCTTATTTCTAATCTTGTTGTAGAGAGAGTATAAGCAATAATAGGAAGGAACAAGAGTTTTTGCTGGTTGAGATAAGGATAGCTATCCAGGGCATTGACTCACATTGATTTCCTGTGCGTGGGTGTTACCTTTTAGGTTAATTCTTTTTGATCTAACCTTCTATTATATAAAAGCTCTACTTCTGGATTATCTGATTCCATTGATCAGTAGGTGTAGCTTTAGGCAATATTATGCTATTTAAATTTTTATATCTTTATAATATGCTGTGGATATTTTGTAGAACTAATCCTCTCTCGTTATGTTAAAATTATGTTAGCTATGGTTATCTACTTATAATCCAGATGTATGCTGTATGTAGAATCATTTTCAAGTTCCTCCCCGAAAGACATGTATTTTAAAGGGAAATTAAACCTAAAATTTAATAAGTTGCTATTTAAGATTACCTCATGAATTGCTTTAGTCTTTTTTAATTCACAAATTGGAATAATCAGATGCCATTTCTGAACCAAACAAGTGCAAATACTCAGCTATCTAAACTGTTTACTTAATACATAACCACAATGTACATATCCATAAAATAAAAAGAGAATCATCTCTGGATCAGAGTTCTTCACATAAATTGACTGGGCTAATTCCATGTAATAAAGCATTTTGTTTTTTTTGCTTTTCCTTCTAAAACAAACATGTCAATTTTCAAGGTAATATACCTATAGATGTTATAGTAAAACCCAAGTGACTTTCAACCTTTTTTATTAATAATAATACAACACATACATCTACAAATTCCACGATTCTAAATTTCACTTTTTGTGGGACCAGGAAATTGTATTTCTAAAACTTCTTAAGAAAACTGTCTTTTTTACAAACATAAAAATTTGTATGTACCGTCCAATTGCAAGTCTCTGATAGCCACTTTATTCTAAGTAGTTACATATCTAGTTCCAAAATGATACCCAAAGTTTGTATTAGTCCTACAAACTTAAGTCCTTACAAATTCCTATGTGTATTTCAATAATTAAGTGTTTAGAATATAAAATTCTGGATGTGCTTTATTTCTTCCAGCAAACTCTGTATTAAATGAAGAGGTAGTTTATAAACTGTGCTTTCTTTCTTATTAAGTTACTCATGGAAGAACTGAATTTATTTGAATGCATTAAGACTTTTATCCTAAATTTTAGATACAAGAGATTTTTTTGCAACCATAATAGGGTGATCAAGTAAACAAAGAGTTTTTAAGATTCAGTGCTTACTTTCTGTTGTTGATGTTGTTATAATTATTTGACAGAGATGAAGGAGAGATCTTTGGTAAAGTTGAAAAATTGGATGCACCTGGGGACCTTTAAAAATATGAAAATGTTAAATTAGATAAAAAATGAAAAATTCTGAAATTAATTATGATATAAAGAAAAACTAACAGATGACAATGTAGTAAATGAATGCTGGAAAAACAGATTAATGAACAAAATCACTATATAGCCTATGGTTTTTAAATTTCCAATGTATTCTCCTTTTAAAATATAATTGTACAAAAGGGGTCTATTTTCAAATAAAATTTATCAAACATACAACTTGCTATTATTCCTGTAAGTCTACTAACTCAATAAACTCACTTATAAGTTAAGGCAACAATTATCATTTTATAATCAATTTTCATAAATTAATGGAATGAAGATAATTCCATTTTCTCAGAAGGTACTATGACAATTCTAATTATATACAATATTGACAGAGAGCTCAGAGAACTTTACCATTATAAAAATTTAGGGCAATGGGGATAGCAAAAGAGAATTTCAAATATAAGTCCAGGAAGTAATGTTTGGCTTTTAAAACTACCTCTGGAAAAATTGCAAAGGCATAAATCTGACTATTTTAATATATATCTCACTAATTCAGAATCCTTTTTAGAGAAATCTCTATTACTATTGGCTTTTAATAAATAAATATACCTTAAAGGTATGATTTACAATCAACAAATCTATTGTATAGAAATGATTTAAGTACTTAAAGGTCTCTGAAAGATTCAATATTCTTTGTTATTTTGTACACAATTTTAATTTACTAGGCAACATGTAGCCAGGCGGCTACAAAAGCCAGTAAGGGACTTATTATAAATTCTACATTAGTGAGGTCCAAAGTGACTAGTTTTTAGAAATTATTTTATTTCCTCTGCTCAAGTGCTAATGAACAATGAAATAGCTGATGGTCAGGAAAGTATAATCTGTGCACTGTACTTTTAGGTAATTTGGATTTTATACATACATATATATTATATATATATATATAAATGCATTATACACAGTGCATTACACAGAACAAAAGGTGTATAATAGCATTTCGTAAATATAAGAAATATTCAACTTTTGAAGTTTTATATATTTTTCTTAGTAAAAAATGCCTTTCTTTTTGAAGAAGGTTCTTCTAGCTAATGAGGACTTTACGGCTAGGATGGATTACATAGCTGAGACTTCTATTTAGGTGTCTTTCTGACATAATCCCTTAACAAGATATTATTTTACCATTCTAAGCTAAAACACAAAATACAATCAACAAACTTTTAATAGAAAATAATGTGGAGAATACTTTTAGAAGTAGTTTTAATAATACTAATATTCTCAGGTAATATTTTCTAATAGTAATAGAAATAAGAGAAATATCTTGGCATTTTGGGGTCCACATTAAGAATTTTTGACTAGGGAGAAAAATCTAAAGCAATTAGACTGCATAATAATGAATTAAGGATGTTAACTTTACAAATGTGATTCAATATAACTTCTCAGGAACACATTTATAAACTGAAATGTTCCCTTCCACCTTACTTATACTAAAAATTATGGAAATAAAGATATATTACTTCATCTAATAAAGAAGCTGAGGTACATATAGATGTGTGTGCTTATTCTTTTTCTGCCCATCTGTGGCTTTTACTATTCATTAGCAGTTCTACCTGTAATTGTATTAGAAAGAAAACAGAATGAAGTATCAATGAGTTAGTTTGTATTTTGATAGTAATTTCTATAAATTCATTCAAATACTCAAACATTTATATAAAGATTACTATATGCCTTGCTCTTGGTAAGTACTGGGAAAACAGTACAGCTCCTGAAGTCAAATAGCTCACAATATAATAGGGAAAACGATACATAAACAAAATAGCTATAAAGCAATATTTTAATATAAACTTTTGCAGTTGTGACACTACATGATTTGAAAATTATGTATAGTTAGAGGGTATTCAAAGTTGAAAGAATAGCACATGCAAATGTATGGGATGTGTTTAGGAAATCAGCAGTTAGTCCAGGTTGTTTGAAAGAGTAGGAAGTATATAGTGGCAGAAACAGAAGTCAGTAAAGAAGCATGATAATAAGAAGCCTTTTATGTTCTATGAAGGAATGTGGACTTTATCCAACAACGCTAGGACATGTTAAAAAATTTTAAGAGTATCAACAAAATCAGATTAATATTCTAGCAAGAAAATTCTTGAAAAAGAGACTGAAGATTGGGAGGTCAGGAGATTATAGAGATAACAAAGGTGAGAATTAAAGGCTGAATTTAAAAAAGTGGAGTGGGGCAAGCACAACACTTCTTCAATATTTAGAAGGCAGTTCTCAAGTGTAGTCCATGGATCCTGGGGTCTCTAAGACTTTTCATAGTGTCTATAAGGTTAAAATTACTTTCATAATAATACCAACATGTTATTTAAATGTTACTTGACAGCTATTATTGGGTGGGCATTTGTAGTAATAGTACAAAAGCAATGGTAGATAAAACTCTGGCACATTAACAAGAATTATAGCAATGCCAGTATCACCGTATTCTTTACCACTTCACCATAGGAAATAGTTTCACAGTAGAAAACAAAATTTTTTCATGTTGAAACAATAAAAATTACTGATTTCATTAAATTTTGAGTTTTTAAAAAAATATCTAACAAACTGGGAAGCTTGCACAAAGCACATGTGCTACACACTGAAATACAATGGCTATCATAAATAGAAGTTCCTGTAATTATTCAAATTGTAAGTGTAACTAGTCATTCTTTTCATAGTACCACTTTTTCTATTCTTATAAACAAGAACAACTGCTGTGGTTACTGAGACTTGGCTATCTAACAGACATTTTCTCACAAATGAATAAAGGAAACCTACTACTAGAAAAACAACTGAAAAGTATGTATCACCAATGACAATATTTGAGCTTTCAAGCAAAAATTAGAATTTTAATAAAGCTGACTTGCCTACCATGGAGCTGGTAGTTTCCCAAAATTTTTTCTCATAAAACTATGACAATTTAAAAAATGTGACTGAAGAAAAGTTGTATAATGAAATTATGAAATTTGGAAGGTCTGCATAACTAAGTGAATTAGTATTTTTCAATTGATTACATAGTTACATATGGAAGATTGTAATATAGTATAAAAAGTTTGATATGGTTTCAGATTCGGTATTGCAATAAACCTTTAAGATTTACACCACTGGTTAAGTTTTGATGTAGTATTGATTATCTGAAAATATCCATACTTTTTCAACTACCTTATCTATATGCTCGAATTTTGTTCATGTACTTTATCCAACAATGTATCACAATAAATTACATGCAAAAACACACATGACAATTTAGCTGTCTTCTATTCGGCCAGAGATTAAATAAAAATATTAATTAATTCAATTAATTTATTATAAAATATTTATATTGCAAAAATATAAAATGTTATTCTCAGTAAAGCTTTTTTTGTGTTTTGGAAAAGAGTTGACTTTTCCAAAAATGTCATCTATGTCAAAATATAATGGTCATTGTTACTTAGGAATATCTTTAAAATTATTTTAATTTCTAATATGAGATTAGACAGCTTCTTGGATGTGACTCTGAATGAGAAGAGTTAGAGTAACAATAGAAAGACTATATTACAAAGACAGAAAGAGCATACGGAATAGTGTCAGGACATCTGAAAAGCACAGAGAAACTGAAAGGCAACACAAAGAAAAGCGGGATACAGTCTGGGAACTAAGGTTTTCTGTGTGTGTAGGTATGCCAGGCAAACATGATGACAACAGATTGGCAGACTTTGCCACAGGATAAACCCACATTTTCCCCAAGCTTAAAATCCAGAGTGGGGGATTCAGTGTGACAATGACTCCTCATGTATGGCAGGACAGCATTAGAAAAGAAAAGCATATTGACACTTTCCATACATTGGAGAGCTATAGTCAGGTGACATCTTGTTTAAGACTGAGCTTCTCTAGGGGACTTGAAAACAGAAAACAATCGCAGCTCAGAAAGTCTGACACCCTGCCAGTATCTGGATAGGAGATGAACATGAGAGGGGATCACGGATAGAGGAAGGTCTGAGTAGACTCACTGAGAAGTTCAAGCAACAGGGAGCTCAGTGATGTGGCCTCTCATCTATAACAAGGATAAAACCAGGAAACAGCTCTGGGCCTGTTGGCAAACTGCCCAGCCTCTGAGCTCTGCCTCCAAGTTCAGTGTGGTTTGCTGCTGGGTTTGACTGAGAGATCTGAGCCCAGACCCCCATAGATCACTGCATTTCCCCATTATCCTACCTCCCACTGGGTGGTTAATTACTGGGGATGGTCTGAGGGCACTAAGATAGGTTGACAGAGTGCCAGGATTCTCCAGTTCTTCCCTTTCAATGAACAACTCAGTGCTCAGTTGCCAGTCTGATTTATTTGGAGGACACTCCAAGGCTTGGATGACTGTTCCCCCTTTGTGTGGGGGGGGTTATGAATGGGGTGTGTGATGGAAACAGCAAAGCTCCTTGTGGTCAAGCAGCTCCAAGAAGAGAAGCTTTTAAAATGAATTCAGCCCTGCAAACTGACGACTGACCTCTGGAACACCCTTAAAAGACCAAACCAATGAATAATGAGAATAGAAGGAGAAGAGGCACAAGGCAAAAACAGAAAACAAATTCAATAAAGTAATAGGAGAAATTTTCCTGAATGTTGAAAAAGAAATGGTCATGCAGGGACAGGAGGCTTTTAGAACACTAAATACACAAGATTTTAATATGGAACAAAGAAAGAATATTGAAAGCTGCAAGAGAGTAGTGCTAAGTCACATATAAAGGCAAACTCATTAGAATAACCAGATTTCTCAACAAAACCCTCAAAGCAAGGAGGGCATGGACAGGTATATTTCAAACCTTGAAAGAAAATAATTGCCATCTTACATTACTGTACCCATGAAGCTAGCCTTAATAATCGAAGGAGAAATAAAATGATAATGGAAAACCTGAAGGAATTCAAATAAATCAGCACTGCAGAAGATATTTAAAGGAATCCTATATACAGAAGAAGATAAAGACAACCGTGAGAATATGGGA